ATTCCATTGGAGAATACAGGCGTTTTTCCTTTGTTTTCTTTAAAACAGTAAGCTTAAAATGATGAATTTTTTGTATTTTTAATTTGAAAATTGAATAAATATTTTTCATAAAGATTGTTTTGAGTGCTAATTTGTTTACGTTTTACAGAATTGCTTAATACATGATATTCAGTACAACTTTCATTTATTTGTAATATTTATAAGATATTAGTAAAAGAATGAATTGGTAAAGCAGCAGTAGTAAAATGATAGTGCTTTGTACAGTTTGTAGCCAAGTTAAGCATGTGGTAAGTTTTTCATTTATATTTTGCTATTAATATGGAAACACCTTTATAAGATTTCAGTTCATATTCACTAAAGAGATGTCTTAATATGCAATTGTGTATTTTCAGTGTTTGATTCTATGGCTTAGTTTCTTTAACATCACAATTTGGAAACATGCTGTAAGAGAAGCATTAAATTTTACTAGAATTCTATGTGTAAATTAACTTCAACATTTCATGTCTCAGGATTTTCTTAATTTAGTTTACTGTTTGAATTTATTTCCTGTTAGCCTCTGACCTTGATGGCAAAGCTATAAAGCTCTAAGCTTGCTAGAATGCATAGCAAGCATTCAGTAAGTAAAATGATGGGAGAATAATAGAAAGGGATAAGTAATTCTTTGAACTCTTTGACTTATCAAAATTCTGTAGTTATTTTAAAGTTTTTGCAGAAAAATAAATATATTCAATGATTGTATTTTTTCAAAAGTCTGTTGCAATAGCAGCCATATGATGTGAAAGTGTACTTGACTTGGTTCTCAGTATCATGTATGCTTGCTGGTGTAGCAAATGAAACATTGCTTAAAATAAGGAGTTTATTACAAGATTTTTAATTTACAAGCTAATGTCAAATATGTTTCTTCAGAGATTAGAATGTGTTTTAAAGTTCTAAAATTAATGTTTTTATTAGTAATATTCATACTGCTTATTTTTAGACATTTAAGTTTAACAGATTGTGTTTCTTTTCAGTTTCTATACTTGCTTAAGCAGTCTTGATTTGAGTAGGGGTCTTGATTTGTGCTTTTGTGTTTGTTAGTTTTTTCATGAATATAGTAAAGCTTTTTTTTCCAGCATGTGTTTTGTCCTCTTTTGTTCTCTTTGGATTTAGTACTTTGGTCTTTTTCTTTTGTTGTTTTCCCTTTTTCCCCTCTCATATTGTTTTTCTTACGTTTTGGTGTTTAGGTCCTGTCTTCATTGTTTCAGGTATTTCTTTCCCCCTCTGGGTGGAGATGGTCCATTGATGCCCATCCCCTTCCTCTTCCTCCTCTGGTAGAGCACTCTTGGGATGCTGGCACTGCAACCTCTAGTATCCTCACCCTTGCAGGTGATATCTCTCTCCGCCTCTTAATCCCTTCCCTGAGGCTCGGCGTCTATA